CGATCGTGTATCCAAATGATTGCACCATGTCGATACACTCCGATGATTATGTAATCCTCCCGGATGATGATGTAATCACTGATGCACCGTCGTCGTCCTTGTCGGTCGATCGTGTATCCAAATGATTGCACCATGTCGATCCACTCCGATGATTACGTAATCCTCACGGATGATGACGTAATCACTGATGCACCGTCGTCGACCACGAGTCTCAGGGCTGGATCGGGTCACTTCCCATCAATCAGCTTCTTGTTCGCAAAAGCCAACTGGCGCTTTACCACAATAATACTCACAGAAAAGGCTCATAATAGTCCGCTTCTTCGCTTGTCCGATCGGAAGTCCGCATGTTGCCGCTCAGAAGTAATCCGCACCCGTGAACGGGTGGGGCATCAGGAAGTTCCATTCTTCTTGTATGTCGTCAGCACTGTCAGCATCTTCTCCTCCCATGCACTCGCCAACCGGCGATTTCCAGCCTTTTGCTCCCCATTCTCGTATCGGCGAAAAGGGGCCACAGAGGAACTACCATCACTCGAATCACTGCCCACTCCCGAAACTGTTGAGCTGTAGCAACAGAGATCAATCGAAAGAGCGAGTTTCCTCCAACATCTACCTGGAGCGGCCCCACACGTGACGCACTGGCAGCCGCAGCATATTATCTTTAGAAACTAGGGCTGCGCGAGACTGGTATAGGATCTGAAACTAACTAAGACGTCGGATACATGCTCATGACTATGTATGACGGATGCGCCATAAAATGCTGTAACAATATAACAAGTACTATTATCAATCCTACGAGAGCTAAAACTATAGAGGCTCGCAAATATAGCGGAGGTGTGCTACAGAGACGAATGGTAATGGTATATAGGACGAGGAAGCAATAATGTACTCGTGCTTTGGCTGACAAGGTCCTACCGATCATGGAAATACTCAAAAAAAAAAAAGATGATGACCCTGAAGTACGCATCTATTGCACCTGCTCGTAGTCGCAGCATCTGCTCTGTGCTAGGAAAGGAGCCAATTTCAATTCGATTAGACGGTTTGCTAGTATTATCCTTGAGACATGTGACGCTCATGTATTTGCCGTTCAGCCTCTCCAATCGTAGTACCCAGAACAGTAAATGGAGCTTGAAGACTTTGGAAGCTAGGTAAGACTGAGGCTGAAAGATATTTATGCATTTTAAGTGGATCTAGTAAAAGAAAACCCCCTCTGTCGATTATGAGGCATCACTGAGCTTCCGTAATGGGTCTTGACGTCAGTCACAAAACTAAGCGGCTACAAAACTAAACTCATTGTCAAACTTCGCTTTGGGTTGTACTGGAATATGTATTGATTTACCGATAGTGCCCATCCCACCACGTTAAACCTTTTGGTATCGCTACTGACGTATTGATATCTATACCGGTATACTGGGATGACCATCCTACCGAAACAATTAATCCTTAACAGATACTTTCAGGTATTCGAGGATACGCGGAGGTATTCCAGATTGTAAAATCCCGCAGAAGTCCGTGGTTCAACATAAAGATCCTTGGCCGAAGAGTGCGTGGGGGACGGAATTAGGATCAGTCCTCCGTGATATGGATCCTATTTGAGTCACTACAGGTATTTAAATGGCCAAACTCTTAAAGTTTGCCAATCGTTTTCTTTTAACCCTTTCGCGAGCCACTTTAGTAAACTATAGTATACAAATCTAGGATAGTCGGTATCAAAAGGAGGCATTTTGCCTCCTTTAAGGCGAGTGATGGACCACCTTCAAATCTTCCAAGTGTGATTTGCTTGGTTTTTCTATGCCCATAACGACCTGTTGTAAACGTACTTAATTATAAAAGGAGGCATTTTGCCTCCTTTAACATGGATACCTCGTCGTACTTAGTTGAAAACCAGTAAAAGGGGGCATTTTGCTTCCTTTTATCGGCGAAAGGTTGACCTTTTTTTTTTTTTTTTTAATGAAAAGGACATTCCCCCAGGAGAACAGTTGTATTATTGTATTTAGCAACAGGTTCTTAGCAGGTCGGCAGGTTGACCATCAAGTTGCAACGGCAATATGCTAGATAGGTCGAGCAGTCATATCAGCAATTGAAGGTTTTCTAACAATTCCCCATATTAGCTTACAATTTTTTAGAGAGACGAGGTGGCAAGGGTATAAAGGGATAACATTGTTACTAGTACTGTTGCTTCCAATTCCTGTGTAGAAACAATAGTATCTCTCACTATCCCTTTATTGGTATAAGTAAGTATAAATATTTTCAATTGTCCGAATGCCACTCACTCCGCCACGCGTTTTGCCAAAAAGTACTTCCACATAAATAACTCCAAATATTTTCATGTTATCAGCGTTGAGTAGATGCCTGTGAGACCTCTGAACGATTTTAAGATCGACAAGCAATGCCAAACAAGTAGGCGATGAAACAAATGAAAAAAACGTGAATTCGCGGCAAAACAGTAACGCACGATGGCAGTGGCTGTACATTGCAAAATCGGGGCAATTTAGGTGATGAACTCTACCCCCTAATAATTAGATTGCAAGCATTTATGAATGATGGTGTTGAAAGCAACGTATGCCAGTATGTGGTGGCAACGACAATATTCAAGTCTTTAAACAGCAAAAACGATGGCAGTGGGGCCTAAAGCCCAACACTCATGGACTCTTCGCAGTTAGTTACCACGGACTCGCGTTACCGATCTTCCGCAAGAAGTTCCCGTCATTCATCGGCACATTAGCGTCTCCGAAACTTACGGTGTTGAGCGAGCGGCGCGCTGCGTCCGTCATTTGGTCCCACATGATAAGTGGCTGCGTTTCTCCACCCTTGTCCGTGCTGTCCAGCGCGTGATTCACAGGCCAGTGGCTCTCGTAGTTAATCTTGGCGGTGTTACCGGAGACAGTACCAGCTTTCGGGGGAGCGTACTTGGAGTATCCGCTGTGTGCGGATGGCGTGACGGCCAGGATCTTCGGGTTGGCGACGTCTGGGTTGTCGATCCACACGATGACGTGCTCCCAGTCGTGGCGGTGGCCCAGACCCGTGGACGGTGAGTCCTTCGGAAAGTACCATGAGTACATGATGGCCCAGCGGCCTTTGTGCCAGGTGGAGCGACCGTAGACTTGCGATCCCCAGCCGGATCCCTTGCAACCGGCGCTAGGTGCGCCACTTTTGGCCAGGCCACCACTCGTCTCTCCGGCAGCGTTTACTGCGGGATATGGGTGGCATCCGTTGGTGATGTGAAGCTGGGGTTTAAATTTTACGGCAGCCTTCTCGGAGACGGACACAGGTGAGGGCTGACCGAATGGACGGACTTGATCGTGGCTGAGAGCAATGACGTCGGTAGCAGCAAGAGCGGCTACAATCGAGACGATGAAAGCGCGAAGATTCATGGTTGGAGAAGCTGAGCAGTGCTCGTGCGTGGTTGGTGGCTTTGGGTCTTGGTGTTAGATTTGGAAATGAGACCATCAGGTTACGCTCCTGGATCTATGCAAGGTGACAGCTCTGCTGTAGGCCTTCTTTTAAAGAATCTTTGCTTTGATTCAAGGGAGCATCGCGTTGATGTCTTGATGCATCAGATGAGTTGGAGTATGTGCTATTTTCTCCAGAGTAGCTCTTTGCAAAGAATCGTTGTTGTTGAAACTAAAGTACATGTAGCAGCACGCTGCGGTCATGAAGCATTCTGCTAGACATGTACGAGATTGAGCATCACTACGTGGGTGCGGAAAATACTATAGAGTACACCCGGTGTACGTCGCCTGGTCGAAGTTCCACTTGATCATGTTGAAGATAGCGCTAGTCGCACCAGCGTCTATAGACGAGGCACTGATCGATGTACCGTGTCGAACAGAAAAATGAGCTGAGCATGCTTAAACTCATATTGTATCCATATTCTTAATATTTTTAAAAATACGGAGGCATTGAATTAGAAATTCGTACAAAATTGAAGCGGACTATCTGATAAGGTAATCTCCCAAAAATAAGGATAAGAGATTTATCGTTCGTAGCCTGCTCGACCTTACACGACGCTATTATAGTCAACGTTGTAAATTACAACTTGTAACGCCACAACAGTGTTAGGCATCGCTTGAAGCTGGAGACATTCAATCTAGGAAACTTCAATGACAAGCATTGCGTGCTAACCTCGATGAATACAGAGACTGTGACGTTGTTGTCAATAACGTATTGGCGACGGACTCAACAGCGGCCATTCATCCGGCAACTGTTTAGTCATAGTACCACACATCCACATTCAGCGACACACTCTTCGAATAAGCTGTCCATAAGTTATGGATAGATTATTCGGGCCATAACTGCTCAAAAAAGAACTTATAATGACAATTAGTTTCTCGTCTCAGTCACTGAGGCAGTGAGGTACAGTGATGTAACCTAGTTAGACACTAGCAACTATCCTATCTCTTATCCAGGCAGACGGCTATTGCTCCTGTGTCACTTGATAATTCAGTGCTGAAATCGCAAGTGCGTCCGCGGTGCAATTATATTCCGTGATGATGAATTGCTCCTTCTTAGCGAGCACTTCATCCCGCGATAATGACGTTAGTAAAGAAATATTCCATAATAAAAATAAATACGCTCATCAACACTTATAAGTGGTGATGAGCGAGAATTATAGTTATTTTAATAACTTTTTTTAGAACACGCTCATTTAAAAAAACTACTCGGTTTTGTGACCGTAAATCTTCGTAAACTCTTTGTCGAGCTGTCGCTTTGCAAATATGCATTATCTTATCATTTCTATTGCTTCAGATATTCAGGTGAATTCCCAGTTTACAAGAGATACAGCTGTGCATCCAGCCAGAAGAAGCTGTCAATATTGTACTGTCTGTATTCCGGATCTTCAATCAAAATTGCGAATTCCATTGTGAAAGGGGAAAATGGGCATTTTCCTCCCCCCATTATTTTGCGATGCCCTCGATAAAAATACTGTGCTAGATCCGCCCCTACCTGTGTTTCAGAGTTTTTTTTTACGACGAGATAGGTTCTATACAAATAAACTATTTAATGGTGCATGCAAGAAAGGAGTGTAAATGATGCGGTAGTTGAGGGCCATCCATCAGTTAAGGGCCGACACAAAATTTAACCAATGGTAGCATCTCAACTCTAATACCATTTTTAAATCGGTAAATAAACACTAAATACGAAACCTTTCAACCTTTATCTTTGGATTTGGTGATCACACAAACTGGTTGGTGTCAAAAAGTGCTCGCATCAACTAAAAGCAACCGCCATGGTTCAGCAAGAAAATACTCCGCGAAATAGCACTGATCACGCACAAGCATTCCTTAAAATACACAGCACTCTCCCTAGCGACGTAGTGTGATGGTGGCATGCAGAGCCACATTTTCTAATAGCTCCTACAATCCGCAGCCAACACACATTTGGAGTGTGCTCCGACGGTGTATAGTGAAGCACATCATGATCAATATCATGATGTTGGCATGAACAGCGTTCAGCCGTATCATAAGAAGACACGTGCGGACATTCAAGGACACAGCTGCTGCTAGACTTGCACTTGAGTGCAACTAGTGCAGGCTCTGAGGGCGGCTATCCCTGGACTGCCAAGGTGGCAGGCGAGAGCGCCCGCAAGTTAAACTAGATAACTCACTTTTGCTTTTGCAATCTGATCAACAATACAAGTTGGTCTTCGCGGGAGTTCCAGCTCCCAAACTGTTGTTGACACGCCACACGTAGTCACGCGAGCTGCCTCGGCAGCCGCGCGTCGATTTCATTGGCTGGGTCCTTGGAAGGCCACGAGCTGGATACAGCACGATAATTTTGCAGGAGTTCACTCATGTTCTCTCACTCACTAGTATTGTTTCTCGCAATTCTATCTACGCTATGATGCATTCGAAGTATACAGTGATATCTCTTATTGTATTGCCTAACACGTGGCTGACATGCATGTAGCAGACGATAACGTTACACGATGTGTCGCGATTGACATATGAAGTAACTCAACGATGGTATTTTGCACACTACCCGCCAAGTGTATACGCACACCCACCTTTGTGGGTGTATTTATGTCAGTATTGGGAGTTGGTCGCCGCGGTTTGAATATGTTATTTGTGTTATTGTTAGAAACCTCCCACATGTGTTAACGCTCGAGATTTAGCGGTTTACGAGGGGCTAACATACAACCAGTTGTTTTTGGTCACGCATCCAGTGTTACGCACGTCTATCAGTATACAAAAATCAAGTCATTCTGAGTGATAGCTATAAAAGCAGTTCGCTCATTCTGGATACGATGGGACGAGGACCACCGCTCAGAGAGCGAGAGCGGGGATTGAAGGGCGGGGCCAAGCTGGCGTTGGCATTAGAGAAATTGCTCGGCAGGTAAAGCGCTCCACTGGCGCAGTGATACGCGTGGTCAAGGACGACGCAAAGCAGCACAAATGACGGGTCCACCGTCGATGCTGTCTGAATGAGATACCCGCAGCCTTCTTCGAACCGCTTTAACGGGCTACTATACAGCCCCTCAGCTTAGGCCTATGCTTAATCTACACCCCTCTGTTAGGACTTTCAGTGTGTTCCAGCTAATGCTGACTGGCTCTGTTATTCCAAACTAAGTAGCACGTTACCGCTCTCTAAGACTGACAAGGAAGCACGAAAGGCATGGGCGTGGAAAATGCTAATGAATTCAGGGGGGGGGGGGAGAAAATCATATTTCCAGACGAAAAAAAGTGGATTCTTGACGGTCCCGATAACTTCCAGCACTGCTGACTAGATATCCGGCGACCACCACGTGAGAATCGCTGCCACCAAGCCGGTGGTGGGTCGTGCATGGTCTGGGCAGCGTTCAACGCCAAGGGCACGACCAAGATTGCTTTCTTAACAGGTCGTCAAAAATCAGATGACTACATCTACACCGTCTCCAAGCTCCTTCTACCGTTCGATTATCTCCACTATGGCACAGACTCATCTATCAGCAGGATGACGCCTCCATCCATACCTCCATAGGCGTTCATGGACTTCCTGCAAGAGCAAGATGTCTACGTTCTCGAATTGACGCCGCGCTCTTCTGACCTGGATCCAATCGAGAATCTGTGGTCCATTCTAACGCGGCGTGTCTACTCAAACGGTCGCCAAGTTAACAGCGTGGCAGAGCTGCGTGCTGCCATTGAAGATGCATGGAAAATATCGATCCCCAATATTATTAGGTCCCTGATCGACTCAATGCCGCGCCGCTGCCAAGAAGTGATCTAGCAGCATGGGATTAAGGCGCATTACTAATAAACAGCTGGCATTTACCATCACTCAGAATGACTTGATTTTTGTAAACTGGTAGATGTGCGTAACACTGGATGCGTGACCAAAAACGACTGGTTGTATGTTAGCCCCCTCGTAAACCGCTAAATCTCGAGCGTTAACACATGTGGGAGGTTTCTAACAATAACACAAATAACATATTCAAACCGCGGCGACCAACTCCCAATATTGACAATAGATACACCCACAAAGGTGGGTGTGCATATACACTTGGCGGGCAGTGTGCATAGATATTCTATGCTATTTCGTGGAGGGCGAGGATTATGGCTTTTCATATGAAACCTAATCGCTGTTGGTCAAACTCTCAGCAGCTGTTATCTTGCTACTAAATCAAGATTAACTACGGCCCTCAACTGATCGAGACTGAATTTGATGCATCAATTCCAACGCCGGATTATTCTTTCATTTTACTGGCTGAAATATTAAAATGTTGTAAAAATTGCAGAGACTGTCTGCTTTCCAGATCTGCAAAGTATTTTGATTTTGCGCTAGCCGTTTCCAACTTACGTGTTTGTCAACTGATCGACCTGTAGGCCGCCCTTACCTGATCATTTTCCTTACCCCGCCAAAGAATACCAGCCTCACACTGTTCAATACATCGAGTAGTTCTGAAGAACATAGATCGAAGGAGTTCAGTAAGCTAAAAAAGGAAACAGAGCTAACGAAACTTCTTATCTTTTACCTCTAGCAGCAACAAACGTTGATCCTGATGTGTGAGGTCAACTTTAAGACCTTGAAGATGAAATCATCTTCAAGGTCTTAAAGCGTCGCAGTGCGGACAATACGGAAAAAGTACGAAACGTAAGTCAAACTAAGATTTTACCATCATCATTACCTCCTTGTAACCCCTTAATTAACCGCGGACTAGCTGGCAAGAACAAGTTAAGGACTTAAAAACACTCACCTCGAGTGCCCAACACATGTCGGACTGGTCATCTTCGCCATTTCCAGTCCAAACGGGATAGCCGCCAGACCAAACCGGGACGGGCGTGAGCCAAAGCTCGTAATTTACCGAAACGTAAAAAAAACCCTTAGTTAATCTCTCATGTCCCAGACTGGGTAAGATTAATTTCGGAACAAGTGAGACTGACTTTCATCTATCATATGTAATAAAGGTGTCACCACAGACGTTGGCTAAAAAAATCGAACGATGAACCAGGTACCCCGCACGCGCCGTATCATAACCCGGTGGTTGCTGCATGCACAATGCAGTCAAAATCTTCCTGTATCAAATGACACCTGTCCTACAACTTAGGGGCCAGTGTGACCGAAGTTACGGGCGGCTTCATCGAGACATACAGCCATTGCCACGAATGTCAAGCAAACTTACTACCCTCCGGCTGCATATGTTATTTGAGAGGTAATCCCACTTGCTCTGAAGATAATCTCGTTTAGTCCGGAGGCTCTCACAATGACACAAAAAAAGGACCTACAAAAATGTTGTCATGGATAGAGGACTGGTTCCCTTGCAGACCAGATAATTGGACCAGCAATATCAGCGTCAGATGTCGAGGCAGCACCTTGATCGATCTCGTGGCTAGCGTCTTGAAGCACATGTTCAAGATCCGGAAAAGTGTACAGGCCTGTTTCACTACCGCGCCGTAGTTTGGCTCGTTGGACTTAAGTTGCGACTGGAAAGGTGGCTGGCATGTACACACCGCCGTGATCCTGTATCAAGGCGGCGGCAGCAGCCCCAGTCCCTCGCATAGACCACGACCACTGGAGTCAGGCTGAGGCTAAATATCGCAACTCCAACCGGCAGCTGACTTGTTCTTTGGCATCTCGAACGCGACCCATGCTTGGTTCTACACACGGTCAGTCCGCTTTAGGCGACCGTCCACCTCCTCATCCCCAGTCGCATCGTCCGTCTTTCGATCCTCTCGAAGAAGTCGACTTCCCCCAGTTCGTACGGGTTCGACGCGTAGGTCGTAAAGATAGTGGTTGAGGTCGCCAAGAAGATTTGCATCAAGCACAGCGTACCCGGAAACGGCAGCTCGCCAGCAACTCCAGATCCTTCGAATAGGCCTCGAGGCCGTCGGCGGACACGTGATGTCCGAGGTGACCCACCTTGCAACATCACCAGGAGGGCCTGGTGACACGGATCGCCACGTTCCACCGGTCGCGAGCGTCCAAATGTCGGTCGACCTTCCCGAAGCGCGTCCCAGGATTCCGTGGCCTCCAAGATGTTGTCAACGTAGGATCGATGCCAAAGCATCGGCGGCTCAGAACTGTCGGCCGGCTCGCCTGACTGGAAGCCGTCCATCGCTCCCGACCAATCGCTGTCTTTCGGAATCCCTGGTAGTTGTACAGCGCGTCGTCTAAAGGCCGTAGGTAGATCTGTTACGCGTTCTTCAGTCAGCGGGTAAACGAAGCCACTCAAACAACATTAGCGGCGTGGTGACGGCCGAGTCTAGGCGCACTCAATCGGACATCTGGAATACCCAAAGTTCGCTGGCCATATCCAGGGAGCAATACCAGAGCATTTTGTCCAACTCACCCAATAGATCGCTGACCAACGTGGGGTAGATCATGTGATGCGTCAAGCTGTTCACCAATAGATAATCGGTGCAGAACCCGATGTCGGCGCTATTCTTCTAAATTATCGCCACGATCGACGACGCACATGGAGAGGTGAACATCTAAATGGTCATCACTGACAGCAGGCCCCTGATCGGGTCGGACAACTTCCGGTGAAAATGCAGCGCCACCTCGCGTATACACTGACCCACAGGCTTTGCGCCCCCGATGGCGATATTGTAGAAGCCCCTCGCACAGCCGACGGCAATGCGTTGCTCTTTCTCCGAGCCGCCGGTGTTTATGACCTCGGATGATCCGTCGCAGTTGGTCGACGGCTTCGAAGGTGCTCTTCTCGTCGTCGTTGGTCTGGATGTCTCCAAGTTTCAATTTCTCCGTAATCGCGGGCATTCGGGCAAGGTCGCTATCGGTCTCTCCACGTCTTCGGCGAAGTGTTCGATTACTTCGCTTACGCAGACCAGCTCGTATTCCTCGGACTGATCAACCGAGGGCAAGTTCACTGGTACACGAGGCACTTCAATCGATGGCGGCACCATCTCCCACAGATTACTGGGTTACGGTCGACCTGGGTCGACCGTCTTTGCCGATGGCACCGCTGCGTCTGTTGTTTTAGCTAGCGCGATCTGGTCTCACAATCCGATCAGTCACCGACGTAGGCGACGTACCGATCTGTCCAGCTTGGTCAATCCTAAGATAAGCAATTATTAGTGGGCTGCAAAGATAGCTAAATGGAATTTGTCTTGCAATCAACGAGTGTATCTTGCTTTAGCACAGATAGGACGCGGAAGAGGATCCCCAAGAAGGATGCTGCTTAACAACAACACGCAAGGTGATTCCTGCAGCACCAAGACCACCGCGGCTGTGTGCAGCAGGCACTAAAATATACTCTTCCTATCAGGTACGGACGGGAGACTTTGCTTCTCAGCTGTTATTACATGAAGCACCTGAATGTAGAAAATGTTGTCGGCTGACATATAATGTATGCTTTGTGACGTAGATGAGATGCGATGAGTAGCCGAAGCTTTGTCAATGAGGGGAGCAAGTGCTGCATCTTCAAGTGCCTGACACTGTTTTGTAGATATAGCACAATAATTAGCGCTAATCGGGCTTTGAAAGGTATGATGCAGTGTTCGTTACCCCATTATCCCTCCCACTATAGAAGAGAGATGGGATATTATCGTGCTAGAAGCTAGTTTACGCGTGGACAATGCAACTATTCCTCGGAAAGAGGCTATTACCAACAAAATTGCTCGCTTGGTTGCTCCAATAAGACGTGTGGTGAAATCTGGTCCTCGTTTGGAACTGTATTGATGGCTATCAACCAGCGAAGCAAAGAGACCGTATGGCGCGGCTACCACGCTCGCTAGCAACACAGGAAGAAGTACGTGGATTTATATGGAGACGAGGATACACACGTAATGCATTTGTTAGCAGAAAGAGAACTACCTACCGGTGGATGTGTCAAGTGCAGACAGCACCAATGCCGCCCTTCGAACAGGGCAGCGGTCCCTGAAGAAAGAAGGATCCTCGTGCGGTACTCAGAAAGGGAAGGGTCTCAGACCGCCTGCTAAGGAAGCAGGGCTGTTACGTGACACAGTGGTTATTTTTGAGGATGGTAAACAGTCTGCAGATTATCACGGCGTGTGCTGCCATTATTATTTTGTGTGCTGGATGGATACATTACTTCAGGAGCCATCTATCAGAAAGCTGCCTAACTGCCTTATTGTCATGGATAACGCCAAGTATCGTACGTACTACCAGAAATGACCCCCAAGAAAGGTAGCGAGAGATCAAAGACGATCAGCGCTATGAACGGATACAAACTGGAGATTCCCACCAATAAAACAAAACAATACTATGGGATATACTCTCACAGCACATAAAAGACAACGTTGTTTCGGTGAGAGTCGACAAAGAAAGGGCAAAAAGAGTCATGAAATCGTATTAACACCGCCCTACTATTCTGGTTTACAGCGTATTCAGCTCGTTTGGGCAAACGTAAAAGGTGAAGTTAGGCGCCGTTACTCGACTAAGACTACTTTCACAAATATCAAGCACAGGCTTCAGCGTCTTCGACGATTTCACTAGTTTCAGTACAAAATGCATTGATGCTGCGAACAATCACTGGGCCAAGCTCAAGAAGCATCTTTATGTCATGGATTCATGCGAGGGGTCTTCTTCTGAAAAGAAGATTGTAGCAAGTGAAAACTAATCGAATAGGATAAATTTATAATAGAATTGCATTTTGATTGATCATCTTTTGGCAAAATGTTCAAAACAAAATAATAATTTACACATTATACGGGGTAATTCACCCGTTTATAATAACTTACTTAAAGTAAGTTACTGAAGCAACGGCTCGACAGAAAACACCAAGATATCCACCAATCAGATCGCATGAAGACAGATGCATGAAATAGTTTGCACGGGTAAAATAACGTCCTCGATGCTGTGGACCTCTGTAAGTTTATTTAAGCTAAAAATCTTAAACCAGATCAGATGTAAATACCGTCTGAGCGATCTGTTCGTACCTCATTCTGCAACTACATGAAGTTTACGGCATCATTTCCGCCCAGGTTTATTTCTCAACTTTTTACACAAACAGTACATTACTAGTCTTTCTCATACAATTTATTATTGCGGTTTCTAGACGTCCTTTAAAGATTAAAACGATTGTGCGGGGCCTCAGCGTGACCTTAAGCCTTCCGCTTTCTGGGGAGTAGCTCTCGGACTCAAACTTTCACTTATAAGGCTCGCTAATGCGTGCAAATGCCAACAAGGATTGTTCACATGGTTTCTCAAAATTTAGACATTCGGCGTAAGAAGGGGACACTCGAAGCAAGTTTTTCGTAGTTTTGTAGCCAGGGGT